AGTTAAAAGGCTTTTATATAGTTGAAAAGAATAAAGGTTAGGGTTATGTAATCTCACCATGACAAGGGAGTTTATGTTAATCATCTTGGTTAATAGGTAGTATAGCGATCAAATGAATAAAGAAACAAAATAATCCCCCCACTTCCAGATCTAGTCTTCTTGACTGGGATGGTGATCTGGAAGTGGGAGGATCATTTTCTTTCATGCTGCCAGTTGCTGTTTCAGAAATCTTGTGCTGCTGCTGCCACTGATAGTTCCTCCAGCAATGCCCAATCGGTCCCTTTGAACTGACCATCCTTAGTTCCTTACTCCTTTTTTAGGGGGAAAATGGGACAGCATAAAGGTAGGCTATTTTGATCATTTTTAAATGTCCCAAGTTCTTTGCAAGCATGCACCTACAAACGCCCAAAGTATGGTGCCCTGCCTGGCAAATGTCCTGGTACTGTCTGCGGTCAGCTCAGTAGGCGGCATCCACTGGCCAAGAGAGGTTTGCGCATAAAATGTTCTGTTCACACCTGAATAGTATTCAACCTGTCAATTAAAAAGTCAAGAAGAAAGTGTTTTTTAATCACAAAAATCAGGATGGCAAGCTTATCTCCCCTTTTTGGTAAGATCCTCTAACGTTTTTTAATTACCGTGACCATTCTCCATCTACTCCACCTTTTTCACACTTCCCCTAGCCTCTATATACTTTACAAGGGGAAACTGACACACCACCTCATTTTGTCAACGTTTTCTTTGGACAACTGAAAAAAAAGGAGAGGTCTTTTCTTTCAATCCATTGAGCAAATCTGAGCATGGAGGGGTGGGGGACGGAGAGTTAGAGAGCTTTGGCTAATGAGTAGTATAGAAATTGGAAGCTTCCTGAGTTGGGATGACATGGCAACCTCACTGGGGCTAGTTACTCACAGTGGGCTTCCAGTCTAGTTATTTTTCTGCCCTTCTCAATATTCAACAGCAAAACCAATCCTTGTCACAAAGTTATTCTTCTAGCCAAAACCCCAAGTGAGGCAGGATGAAATGTGATTGACCTCTCATTCATTCATTCATTCATTCATTCATTCATTCATTCATTCATATCTGAGTCTTTTTTTAAAATAACTCATTGCAGCTTACATCATTCTTCTGCTTCTCTCAATCTTATCCTCACAACAACAACCCTGTGAGGTAAGCTGGGCTGAGGATATCTGACTGGCTTGACATCACCCAGTTGGCTTCATGGCTGAGTGGGGTCTTGAACCCAGATCACCTAAGTCCCAGTCTCATACTCTTACCCACTATACCAGAACAGCACCCCTTAGCATACCATTCATTTTCTAGTCCTAACAGTCAACTCAACATTGAAGAACACTTGCCATCCTACACACAGCTTCACATGAGAGGATCCTCTCAAACATGCATGCACACTCCACATAGGATCCACTGGCTGAATCCTACACCACAGTGCTACTGCCATTAAGCCATGGCATGGCATGACATGATGGAAGCTAGAGGCACTGAAGTTGGCCCACTTCTTCAAGCTAACTCTGCTAGGATATGTGGATTAGCAACACTAGAAAGCAAGAATCCAACTTTCTCCTCTAAACATGTGGCATGTTAGGGTGACTGGCACCCTGAATCAATGTTTGTCAAGACCATAGTACTGCATCTTCTGGAAGAAATCTTACCCTGTGAAAAAACTGAATCAGAAGATTACAGGAAAGGAATCCATGAACAACTGCAAGTTTCTCCAAGTCTGAACAAGGACCTGCAAGTAGTTCTCACTACGAAAACATAATTACCGTACCTTTGATTTTGCAATGCTCAACATTTTCTTTAAAGGTTCCAGCAATTGCTGAGTTTTTCATGTTCATTGTACCAACACTACTTTGGATGACTATCAACATTTAGTATTCCAACAAAGAAAATACAGCATTATCTTCAGCTTGTGACACATGATGCTTTTAAGGTCATACAGTTTGCTTAACAAGCTGCTAAAATTAGAAAAGATTTTGTAGATTCAAACCTCTTAAACTGCAGGGGTGACAAACTTGCTTTAGTTGACATGGGCCAGACTTTCCGTAATGCTGCTTAGTATGGCAATAGCTTTGGTCATACAACCAATGGACTTAAAAGTTTGGGCCATGTCTACTTGTTTTGTGACCCAATGTACCTTGTTGTTGTTAGTTGCGAAGCCATGTCTGACCCATGGCAACCCCATAGACAACATTCCTCCAGGCCTTCCTGTCTTCCACCAACCCCCGGAGTCCACTCAAGTTCACACCAACTGCTTCAGTGACTCCATCTAGCCACCTCATCCTCTGCCGCCCCCTTCTTCTTTTGCCTTCAATTGTTCCCAGCATTAGGCTCTTCTCCAGGAACTCCTTCCTTCTCATTTGGTGGCCAAAGTATTTGAGTTTCATCTTCAGGATCTGGCCTTCTAAAGAGCAGTCAGGGTTGATCTTCTCTAGGACTGACCAGTTTGATCGCCTTGCAGTCCAAGGGACTCACAGGAGTCTTCTCCAGCACCACAATTCAAAGGCCTCAATTCTATGGCACTCAGCCTTCCTTATGGTCCAACTTTCACAGCCATACATTGTAACTGGGAAAACCATAGCCTTGACTATATGCACTTTTGTTGGCAGGGTGATGTCTCTGCTTTTTAGTATGCTGCCTAGATTTGCCACAGCTTTCCTCCCCAAGAGCAAGCGTCTTTTAATTTCTTGGCTGCAGTCCCCATCTGCGGTAATCTTGGAGCCCAGGAAAATATAATCTGTCACTACCTCCATTTCTTCCCCATCTATTTGCCAGGAAGTGATGGGACCAGATGCCATGATCTTAGTTTTCTTAATGTACCTTTTCTCTATAAAAGGCTCTTGATATTCCTGAAGCCTACTTCACATGTCAAATTTATTAAGTTTTATTTGGTCTATAAAAACTCAACTGTTACAGTATAAAAGCTAAAAGTCTGAGGCTCACAAAAAGCTAATTTGATGCATCACATACCAGAAAGCTTGGATAGAGTGCACAGAACACTGGACCTAGATCAAAGAGACCAAAGCTTAAATCTCACTAAGACATGAGGCACTCCACTGGGCTAGCCAATCGTCCTCATGCTGATCTACACTGGAAGGTTGTTGTGAGGATAGATGATATGTGACTGTGGGGAGACAGTGAGCAGGGTGGGAAGGAGAATTATGACAGGCTAGTCTTCTGGAAGAAGGGCTATATAAGAATGAAATGTAAATTGCAATGTAGCAATGCTCTTCTCCTGAGAAAAACCTTTCCTAAGAATCTGGCTGTGTTGCTCCTGAAGCTGTTGAGTGCTTTGCGAACGAAGGCAACATTTATAGGCTCCGCAGGAAGAAGAAGCCACACACAAGGGGAGTGGAGAGAGGGGGAGCTTCCAGAGAAGAAATCCAGTGTGCTTCTTGTTTTCCCTATTGGCTGTGTGGCATTTCCCAGCTCAGCTAATTATATCCTCCCCTCCTATATAAACGGCACCAAAATAGCTGGAGCCCCAGTGGCCGGGCCAGCAACCAAGAAAACTGCTGCCTTTAAAATAATCCAAGCAGGAGGGGAGCCAGCATGAAAAGGGCAAGGTTGGGCCACCTCCCAGAGACGATAATGGTTCCAGAGAAGACATCAGTGATACCCTTGCTCTATCTTGCTAATGCGGCTAATTGGGGTCTGTTGCCCAGTTCAATAGGATGAGAGACTAAACCTGAAGAGTTAATTCCATGGTAAGGGCCTCAGGACTCCAGACTATTGTCAATATAACAAAGAGGCCTATTATTCTGCCCCCTACAGGAGAGCTGCCCTTGCCATAATTATCAGACAGATGCATAATTTAAGGGCTTTAGGGCTTCAAAAGAGACTGGCCACAAAAAGAAGGGAGTCTCTCACCTAATCGATGGATTAAGCCTGTGTTTATTCTTCAATGAGTAAACAGAGGAGGTGCCCAAACCTCCAGATTTTGCATTTAAAAAGATAATACTGCTCACTCACCAAGGTAATGCCAGACTGTCTTTTCTTTTTTACTTTGGCCTGGGATTTAAGTTGCTAATTTGACAACAGCAAAACAGGGCAGAAGCCAAACCTGTCATTTACAGCCTCTCTTTATAAAGAGCCAAAGATAAGGGGACTAGCCACTCACCAGGTCTTACTGATTTTACAGAACAATTTATTATGCATGCAAAAAGCAAGGGCATGCAGAGGAGGAAGAGGAAGAGAAAGAAGAAGATGACGACGAAGCATAAGCTAAAAGTAAGTTGCCATGTACTTGCTCCGATTTTAAACCTTGGTTTTGACAGGGCTATCTGCCTGCACAAATATCCTGGGAATGCGACCACACTTGAAGCTGATATGCTACACTTAATATATACATCTCAGTTTATAATCTCAGCACATGCTGTTAGGGAAAGGATGCCTTCAGAAAAGAGACAGGATGGAAGTTCACATAAGACCTCATACATACCTTAAAAGAACTGCTGTGTGACTAGATGGGCTAGCTGCCCCTCCCCATCCCAGCCCCCACATTCAGTAAGAGTGGGATGGATATTGCAAGGACATGTCCTCAGGATGCAAGGGATCATGCAGACTAAGGTCATTGGGTGGGAGTCTTGCCTAAGGCATTTCTAAGACACAATCCTATGCAACATGGCTGGCTGGGGCAAGCTAGGAGTTGTGAGATTTTTTTTCTGCCTAACCGTGCAGACAGCTGTGCTTTTTTGTGAGTTTCAGAGGGGTATCACAACTGAAGGATCATATTAGACAAGGATCAACAATGTACCTGAGAGAGGAAACTAAGGATAACAGACTGAGATCTAACAAAACAAAATTTAAAAACCCACAATTTATTGAAAAGCATATTCCACTAAATTCAATCACACTTTACATTTTCCGCACATAATGGATTTTATCTAACACCAATCTAACTTAAGTCCCATACTTTTCAATGGTCATAGAACTAACTAGAACTAATATTGCTCCAATCCAACAGCTCCAGTGCTATTTCTTACCTCAGTGAGGTATCGGGATGTGCTTCCATGTGGGTTTCCAGCCCATACTTGCAAGAAAATTCCTTGAAACACACTGGACAACGATAAGCCTCCTCAGTTTTCTTCTCAGCATCACCAGTTTGCAGTTCCTCCACAACCTGGGTGGTAGAAGAGGTGGAAATTCTCACATGCAAGCCAAAGTTAAAACAATAGGCTCAGACAGATAGCAAATGTCATTCTCAAATGGTGTCAGAGGCTCATGACTTTATTACAGATGACTAAACAAGACCTGCACCATGCGGATTAACACAAATCAGTCCACACTAACCAGGTACCCCTTTCTAAGTACTGGCTACAGTATTATCTTCCAAATTAACACACACACCCCCCTTAAGAATGTGGAAGGTGCCTGAAACAGAGCCACCCAATCATAACTAGCTTCTTTGTCTAGTTTGAATGCTGACTTTTTGATCCCTTTCTCCCCTCCATGTGGAACTTCATTAACACAGAGAGTATGAATTTATATATGTCGACAGGTGATCTTCTGTCCTCAAAGCAGTTGGACCAAGTAATTTGAGCAGGAGCCACTGCCCGTCACAAAACCCCCAAAGGATTTTAGAAGGAAAATATACCAGAAAAAAAGCCAACAACATGCATGAAGAAAGAAAACAAACAACAATACAGAAAACATGCATGAAGAAAACAAAACAAAATAAACAATCTCTCCAAGATGGTTTCTTGGCATGCAAGGCCTCCCTATTACAGGCCAGCCACTGCAGATTTTGGGGGTAATCACAGTTCTGTGCTTTGTACTGACTGTCTGAACCAGCCTTCCCCAACCAGATGCCCTTCAAATGTGTTGGACTGCAATACTGTCTGGGCCTGATGGGAATAACAGTCCAATGCATCTGGAGGGCACTAAGTGGGGGAAGGCTGGCCTACACTGTATACACATCTGCAAAACATCACTAGAACATAGGAAGATGCCTTATCCAAAGTCAGATCATTGGCACACCTAGTCCAGTAGTGTTGACTCTGACTGGCAGCAGCACTTCAGAATTTCAGGCAGGATTCTTTCCCAGTCTACCTGGAGGTGAACCCAGAACCAGCTCAAGGTCACGTGGTATATTTCAAGGTTGCACGAGGATTTGAATTGGGATCTCCACAGCTACCTAACCTCACCTATAGTGGTAATATATGCATTTTACATGGATCTGCATAAGGAAAGTTTCTGAAAGGTCATCCTGGCAAAATGAACTCTATCATACTTTTTTTCCTGCCTCCCACTTCTGCCCCTTTCCATTTCCATGTGGCAAACTCCACTTTCAATATCCAATTTTATGTCTTACTGTCTTTAAAATCACCCTAAGGAAATAAATAGAGAAAAGGAAAAAGAGTGAAATAAGATGGTGTAATTCCAGTAATTATTTTGCCGAACACTTCTCCCAAGTACCTTTTTTGCTGGACTCTGTTCCTCTTTGTCTGCCTCAGCTTCTTGACTTAGCTTTCGTTTGCTGGGAAATCTCCTGCGTTTCAGAGGGGAGGCAGGTGTTGTACTTATAGTGCTGTTTGGGTCCTTCTCGTGGATTTTCATGTGTCTGAAGTCAGGTGGAAAAGAGGGATGGGAAGGAGGAAAAAAGTCAGCAACCCGTTCATCAAAGAGTCTGATCTGAAAGGAAGTTTCAATGAAAGCTAAAACTGCAAAGGTATGATGATAAAAAAGACCACCAACTTATCATGGAGTTCAACAGCCCTCTTTTCTAACTTGTAAAGTCCTTTACCAGCCAATTTCCAATACCAAGCATATGGAAAAATGGTGCATAATTTGACAGAAGAAATGGCTAGGTTTAGGCCACCACTTTCTGCAACCTCTTTCAAGAAAACTGCTCTTAATCTAAAAGTTACTGTGAACCAAGATCAACAGAAAGTAGATCTCAGATGTTTTTAGTCTTAAAATTTGCATCATTCCTGAACCACTGGCCATGGAGATGGAGGCTTCTGGGAGCTGAAGTCAAAAACATCTGGAGATTTATCTTTTGCCTAACTCAGTGATTTAGAGGGCACGTAGCCCTCATTTAAGAACATGAGAAGGAACAGGAGAGTACAAGGCCCACTAGTTTTAGATGACCCACTAAATGTATCTCTCCCTGTTTAACTAACCATACTGCTACCGTGTGTTCACTCAGCTGCTGAACAATTTGTTCCAGCAATGGGGCTGCTGTGGTGGGTTCCTCATTGTCTTCTACTGCCAGAGACTATGAACAGCTTCTTAGTTCATCATGAGTCAGGGCAGGCAGGGTTGGGAAGAAGCACTACTTGGTTTTGAAAGTTGTGCCTTTCACAGGGACAGGTTTAGTCATACAAGCAAACCGGGAAGCCAATCATGCCAGAAGTAATATACAAAGCAACTTCTTTGGTTGGCTGTTTCTCCCAGAACCACTTGTGAGAATTTTCTCTGTTTCCAAGACATACTTTATTAGAGGAAAGATTTATTTATTAGATTTGATCTTCACTTTTCCACCAAGAAAATGTGACTCAAGGATGCTTAGGCAATAAAGACTTTGAGCAAAACCTAGATCCATATAATCACCGTACCCTGTATCTTGCATACTATATCCAGTTGCCTGCATTTCTATCATCCGCCTGCAACACTCCTGCAACCCACAGGTGGATCCTGAACTATCCTGATCAAATGGATCCTGTCCATTTGCAATCCAAGCACTGACATGACCAACAGCCATAAACTGTGCTCAGCTGCACTGGAGATAACTTGACTATGTATAGTAACATTCAAGCTACAGCAACCAGAAAAAACGCCTCCATCTGATAAAAAGGAGCATAAAAGGATGCCTCTGGTATCATTATCTTTGGAGTTATAATAATATATCTATGTAGCCCCAGTTTTCCTGTTCTTTAGAACACATCCAGGAGGGAACTTTGTTTTTCAAGAGCAACCAAACAAAGAGGAGCGAGAATACTCTGGTCAGGAAGCCAGATTCTGGCTGGACATCAGGAAAAACTTCCTGACTGTTAGAGCAGTACAGCAATTGAACCAATTACCTAGGGATGTTGTGAGCTCTCCCACACTAGAGGCATTCAAGATGCAACTGGACAGCCATCTGAGAGGGATGGTTTAATTTGGAATTCTGCACTGAGCAGGGGGTTGGACCTTATGGGCCCCTTTCTATGATTCGAATTAGACCCCTTCAGGGGTCAGGCATAACGAAGCTGGTGTCCCTTTGCAACAAGAGCTTCATAGTAATGGGCCACATGTATTTTGGGATAGAATCACACTACTTACATACATACTATGTCCTTATGCATTAATATACAATAGAACATACTATTGCAGTTAAAATAATTATTCATAAACTTCAACAAAGGAAATCCAAATACAGTACGACCATTATATCCACAGGGAATAGGTTACAAGCCCCCAAAAGATGCGTGAAATCGCAGATAGTAGCCAACACTATATACAGTGCAATTGGCCCTCCACATTAATAGAGGTTAGGGGCACAAGCCCCCGGCAAAAGTAAAAAAACTGCACGTGTCTCAAGGGAAAAAACACTAATATCTCTAGGGACTCCGTCTGAGGATGCTCTTTGTCTCAGTACTAGCCAGCCTCGCTCATGTGTTTTGTCTCTCAGCAGGTACAAAGAGTACAGAGATATTTGTATCTCTGCTAGAGATATTTGCTTTTATCCTAGAGATATTCATGATTTTTCCACTTCTGCAGGGATCCTGCACCTGTAACCCCTGCAAAGGTGGAGGGCCACGGTCAACTGCAATTAAGTGAAACCACAGTAACTGAGACAGTGCATACGGAGATCCTACTGTATTCATATCTGTATCCATTTGCAGACTATCTCTAAAGATCACTTGTTGAAAAATCCAAAGTGTTATTAAATGTTCAACCACTGTGTAATTATAGGCGGCTATACATAAATAAGTGCGCTCTCCATTCACCTCTCCTTGCAATCTATTCCATAATGATTTTTTCCTTCCAAAGTTTGGATGGATAGGAATAGGGTAATGGCACAAAAATTGGATAAAGACTCCAAATACTGGTTAGGCTATTTCATGAAGCACTTTATGTGCTTTAACTTTATCTGATAAATCGATTTTGTTCAACCTGATATATTTCCTTGCCCAAATTTTGGAGACTTTCAACCTACTGGAGATGACAGAAAGAGGTCCAACTAAATTTCCCTAATATTGGCAAAGGCATGATAAAGGACAAAGGTGAGAAAAAAAATAATGTGTTAAAGTTGTTTCTCATCTTCCAGTTGTCAGTCACTGATTTTGCATATCACATGTGCACCCTGCATAGCTATTTATGTGTGATGGATCTTTCTAAATCATATCCAAACTCTGTAATGTTTCCGCTTATTTTATCCTTTTTTCTTTTGTTTGGTTACACTTTTATATCATACAATTATATATAATTACAATCTGAAAATTAATAAGATCATAACGTATAAGAAAACTGGTGCTAGATCAGACCAAAGAGACAGTTATATGTATTCCAATCTAATCCAAAACTCTGTTCCCACAGTGATTAAGTGTATTCCTTTGGGAAGTCCACAAACAGGACCTGGGCACAAAAGCAGCCTCCAACCCATGTTCCCCAGCAATTGGTTCCAATAGGCACACAGCCTCTAATTCATAGCAATCTTGCTTATTAGCCACTGTCAGCATTATCTATCCATGCATCCTACATTAATTCAACATACATTTAAAATAGGCAGATGTACCTAGGACCAGAAAAATATACTCTGCAAGACCAGAACTCACCAGTTGACCATCCCCAGTGCAACTCATTACATCATTTGAAGCAAAGCATTTAAAATGAGCAAAAAGCAGACTTCCCAGAAATGAGATGTGCTCATTACCAGATAAGCAGAAGGACTTCCATACAGAACATGGGAAGAAAACTCAGCTAGCTAATAAGAAAGTATCTTATCACCATAAGGCCAAAACATGTAGTTAAGAGTTCCAAAACTTTAATCTGTGGACTTAAGAAAAGTCACCATAGGTCTGAGGGCAAATTTTTATATAGTCAAGCCAAGCTAGATTTCATGAGGTCATCCTTTTAGCAAACAAGGCATTTCCAATGTCCTTTGCATATCTTACCCCACTAAACTAAAAGGCATCACCATCATCATCTCCCTCCAGGATCTTCAGGTGAGATGAGAATGGAAAACATTCAGACAAATACACAACAGGACTAAAATACACCAAACCCAAACAGCTGCATTCACACAGCTGCACAAAGCTCCATCTAGAAAAAAAACAATGATTTAATTAGGTTCTTAAAATATTTTTCACATAGCTAGTAATAGGTATAAACTGAAATGAATATCCCTAAATTAGCCTCATTTTTAATATCAATGGAAGAAATACTAGGAGATTGACTAAATCATGGAAGCATCCTAATCTCTACCATGGTCTTACCACTGTAAGTTTTTAATTAAGAGAACAGGGAATAAATTACTAAGCTTGTCAACTTTGACCATGAGTAATGACTTGGTCTCCACAAATCTTCCCATTAATCCATGGATGAGGCACTAGTTTTGGGTGGGGAACTGAATGATTCCACCTACCCAGTCCCACATATGGGGGCAGACCTATAGACCTAACCAATATAAATTCTGTTAAAAATAACTAATGTATTTGGAATAAAGCCTGTTCAGCAAAATATTGATGTGACAAATACTGCATGGAGTTTATTAACAGGCACAATCCAGTGTGTGGGTGGGGAGGGGTGGGGAGTATTACCAAGTACAATTGAGAATCAGGGTTTCTCTGAAATAGGTTTTCTTACTTCTGCGCAGCATATCTCAAACCATAAAGCACATTCATGACATAACAGCATCACAGAATCATAGAATACTAGAGGTGAAGGGGGCTAGAAGACCATGGAGTTCAACACCCTGCCAAGTGCAGGAGTCCACGTTAAACCATCCCTCTCAGGTGGCTGTCCAGATGTTCTCTGAATGCTTCTAGTGTGGGATGGCCCCCAGTTTCCAGGGTTATTGGTTCCACTGTCATACTACTCTAGCAATCAGGAATTTTTTCCTGAATTCTAGCCAGAACCCAACCTTCGGTAACTCAAGCCCCTTATTCCATGTCCTGTACTCTGGGATAATCGAGAAGAGATCCTGTCCTTCCTCTGTGTGACAGCGTTTCAAGTACTTGAAGAGTTCTATTATATCTCTCCTTGGTCTTCTCTTCATGAAGCTAAACATAACCAGTTCTTTCAATATCTTCTCACAGGACTTTGTTTCTCACAGTCCCTGGATAATCCTTGTTGCTCTACCCTGAAACACTTTCCAGCTTGTCTGTCTCTTTTCTAAACTGTGGTTCCCAGAACTAGACACAGTCCTCCAGAAGAGGCCTAACTAGTGGTGAATAAAGGGGAACTTCACATGATTTGCCCCTTTTGCAGCCACATCACACTGTTGACTCGTATTAAGCTTGTGATATACAACAATTCAAAGATCCTTGTCACTCAGAATATTGTTGAGCCAAGTATTCACCATCTTGTAACAATGCAGGTGATTTCTTTTCTCTAGGTGCAGAACTTAGCACTTGT